ACAGAGGAGGATCCGGGAAGGGTGCTGTGGGAAGGACGGTTTGGGATAAAAACACCCACCTACCTTCGTAGCAATGCAGGCTCTCACCCCTGCCCTGGCCGGCGTGCCCAGGCCCCAGGGAGGCCACAGCCCCGCAGCTGGGTGGGCTGGGGGGCTGGGGCCCCGGACGTCACGTTCTCTGCTGATGCTGGGAGTCTGTGATCACCTTTATAGAGTGACGATCTTATCGCAAGAAAGCAGACGGTATCTTTTACCGTCGGTAGCGAGGGGTGTCCTGATGCTGTGACGGAGCCAGACTGGCTGCATCCGTCTGCGAGGGCTGCTGTCACACGGACCGAGAACGGGGAGCCTTCAGCTCAGAAACGCCTCGCCCCACAGAGCTGGAGGCTGGGCACCCCGCCTCAGGGTGGGAGGCTGCCTTCTGAGGGAAAGATCTAGCCCAGGCCTCGCTCCTTGGGTGGTTGCCCCTCCAGGGCCTTCATAGGCCATCCCTGTGTGTGTCCTAATTCCTCTTGTATTGCACCAGCCATGTTGGATTAGTGCCCACCATAGGAATCTCATTTTAACCAGATCACCCGTGTAAAAACCCCATTTCCAAATCATTTCAAAGGACCAGGGGCTAGTGCTTCCATGTATGAATGCGTGTGGTGGGGAGATTGGGCAGGGGGGACACAATGTAACCCCTAATATTAACGGAAGGGCAAGTTCCCTTTGCTCTTAGAGTCAACTCAGAGCCCCCTCGGGAACAGGCCACTTGCTCCGTAGCCTGTCTTCTCCTGGGTCCCTCCGATAAGCCGGCGCTGCCTGTGGCTTCTGCTCTTTGTCCCTCGCCACCCGTTCCCCTGTCCCTGCTCAGCCCAATCCAGACGCTCCCCACTCACCTGAACCCCTCTCTGTGTTTCATAGCACTCACTCCAATTTGTAAGGACCCCTGTACCTGTATGACTATCTACGCCTGGATGTTTTCCCAGACAACATCACAGCTCAGTGCAATCCTTTGAGCAAAATACTTGCTCTTACTCTGCTCGTGCACTCTGACATTTCCTGTGACACCTCTCTCTCTCTCTCTTTCCCTGCCTCTCTCTCTCTCTCTCTCTCTCTCTCTCTCTCTCTCTCTCTCTGTAAACTATAGATAGCATAACATTTGCTATTTTAACCCTTTTTTTAAATGTCATTTTATTGATTTCAGAGAGGAAGGGAGAGGAAAAGAGCAATAGAAACATCCATGATGAGAGAGAATCATTGATCAGCTGCCTCCTGCACACCCCACACTGGGGATCCAGCCTGCAACCCGGGCATGTGCCCTGGTCCAGGAATCGAACTGTGTGACCTTCTGGTTCATAGATCAGCGCTCAACCACTGAGCCACGCCAGCTGGGCTTTCACCATTTTTAAGTGTGTGGTTCAGTGGCACCAAGTACATTTACCTTTGTAGTGCCACCATCCCTGCCATTATCACCGGGACTTTTCTGACATCCCAAAAGGAAACTTGTCCCCAGGCGCCCTCCCTCCCCCAGCCTCTGGCAGGCACCTCCCTGCTCTCTGTGTCTATGGGTTTGTCTGCTCTAGGGAGCTCACAGAAGTGGAATCGTACGGGACCTGTCACTCTGGGACAGCTTATTCCATTTGGCACAGTGTCCTCGGGCCCATCCACGGTGCACAGTGTGCCCGTTTCTTCCTTCGTAAGAGGACCAGTGCCCCATCATGCAGCTGGAGCGCCTCCTGCTTACCCATTTCTCCATCCGTGGGCACTCGGGATGGTCCCACGTGTTGGCTATCCTGACTGGTGCTGCCATGAACACGAGGGCACAGGACATCTCTGAGGCCCTGCTTCACGTCCTTCGGGGAGAGACCCGGAGTGGAGTTTTCTGTCTCCTTGTTCAAAGTGCTGATGCGACTGTTTAAATCGACTTCACAGCCACCTGCCGGGAGTGTATCCCAGCCCCGCGGTCACCGGGCAACTAAGTCTGGAAGAATGTTGAGTTAAACAATGGACGATCGATCACGTTTCTGGGCAATTGTATTCCTTCTGGGTGAATAGCGGCGACGGGGCCCCCATTGCCCTCTCTCTTTTGCGCCGGTTGCACAGGGTGCATGTGGTGCAGGGAACACGGTGGTCATATTGTCCCAGAGAGCTCACGCTCCTTATCACAGTGACAGCGTTCTCTGCCTCAAAATGATGTAGAATAACGGTCTGTTAAAATGTTTGGACAAGCCTGGCCGGTGTGGCTCAGTGGTTGAACATCAACCTATGAACTGGGAGGTCATGGTTCGATTCCCGGTCAGGGCATATGCCTGGGTTGTGGGCTTGATCCCCAGTGTGGGGCGAGCAGGAGGCAGCTGATCAATGATTCTCTCTAATCATTGATGTTTCTCTCTCTCTCTCCCTCTCTTCTTGTCTCTCTGAGATAAAATAAAAAATATACTTTAAAAACTGTTTGGGCACAAAAATCTCATATTATTAACTAAATTTTCAGGGGTTTTTCTTGAACTTTCTCCATAGATTTTTTAAATCTCCATATATAATCTCCATAGATTATACCTAATTGATTTGACATGCATAACCTTATAGTTATACTAAATCTTGCTGGGGTGTGTGTGTGTTTAGAGTACACTTTTACTATCGTGAGGAAACCATAGTTGTCCAGTACTCTAGGCCAATGCTCTGTCCACTGAGCCAAACCAGCTAGGTGCAGTGGTCGGCAAACTGCAGCTCATGAGCCACATGTAGCTCTTTGGCCCCTGGAGTGTGGCTCTTCCACAAAATACCACGTGCGGGCGCGCACGTACAGTGCAATTGTAACTTCGTGGCCCATGCGCAGAAGTCGGATTTCGGCTCTCAAAAGAAATTTCAATCGTTGTGCTGTTGATATTTGGTTCTGTGGACTAATGAGTTTGCCAACTAAGTTAGGGCAAAGGCCCGCCTTTTTGCAGCTTTCTGTGCTCTGAGCTTACTGGGTTTCGCCTGTGGCTGATTCCTGTGCCTCCCTGACTGTGCCTTCGGAATCCGCCTCCCTCTTCCCTTTCCAAGGCTCTGCCCAGCTCCTGCCGACCCTCCTTCCGTTCCCCCCTCAGGCAGCTCACTCCCACCTCTTTGCCAACAGCTCCCAAGTCCCAGCTCTTTCCCTGGGGAGCTGGACTTCCCCCTCCAGTAGCCACAGGGCATTTCTAGTGGGAGGCTGCTGTCCCCTCTCTGCCTTTCTGACTCTCCAGCGGTGTGGGCCTCTGGCTCGGCCCTCAGCCCCCCTGGCTGTCTGGGCCTCAGTGCCCCACGGCAGTCCAGCTCCCACTCACACTCATCTTCCCAACAGTGCTCTGCTGCAGACCGCCAGCCTCCCTCCACCGCGGCCGGGTCTCCCACCTGACCCCACCTCTGTCCACTCTGATTTCCCACGGTCCGCCAGACAAGCTGGCCAGCCATGTCCGATCAGCCCGTGGCCATTAGCAGGCCCTGCTCCCTTCCTTCGCCATCACTAACATTGACCTTCAAACACCAGGCCGCAATCAAGCCAATGGCACCTGTAACCCTCAGCCTCCTACATGTACCTTTCTTCCTCCTTCGTAATCCCTCCTCTTCTGAGCTTGGTCTCTCTGACAAGGACTCCCAACATGCCCTCTGCCTGCGGCATCCAATGGCAGACAGACCGGGAGCGCAATATGCCACACACACCACAGAGCCCCGGGCCTCACCCTGCCTTCTGCTGGGAACACAGCCTCCCTCCCTCTCAGAACCACCAGGAATGGCACAGGTTTTCTTAAAAGGACCTTTTTAGCCGAAACCGGTTTGGCTCAGTGGGTAGAGCGTCGGCCTGTGGACCGAAAGGTCCAAGGTTCAATTCCCGTCAAGGGCATGTACCTTGGTTGTGGGCACATTCCCAGTGGGGGTTGTGCAACAGGCAGCTGATTGATGATTCTTTCTCATCGATGTTTCTAACTCTATCCCTCTCTCTTCCTCTCTGTAAAAAATCAATTATATATATATATATATATATATATATATATATATATATATATATATATATATAAAGTTTTTTTAAAAAAAGGAACTTTTTACTCCATCTCCATTTCACCTGTGTCCAACCTACAACTCGAAGCCACTGGGATTTGGCTGTGCAGCCAGGAGATGGTCCAATCCTCGGACTCCTTGGATTCCTTGTTGCCAGCGCCTTGACTCCAGGCCGTGGGCAATGAAACTCATAGGGTCGCCTGTGAATGGGTGGACTGGAAAAGTTACAAACCCACGCGCGCGCGCGTTCGTGCGTGTGTGTTTCTCCTTCCGAGATAGACTCTATCCCGGTTTCCTTGGGTCCCGTAACAAGTTAACTAGTGTGTCATGTAGCAAGTCTGCACGCGAAGGCTGACGGAGGGGGAGCGCACAGAGCAGAAGCTTTCAGTCCTGTAAAGGCCCAGACTTTCTGCCTTTCAATGTGGGAAGCCGCATCCTTGGCCCCTGGTGAGCGAAGCTTCCCTGGAGTGAGGAGCCGGGCGCTCAGGCTCCCTGGAGGCCCTGCTGCCGGGAGGACCGTGGGGACCCCGGGGCCCGCCTCGCAGGACGCGGCCCGCAGCGGCGCGGCTCGGGGTGGAAAGGCTGCCGGACGGGCATCGCCAGTTGTCCATGTTTGGTCCTGCGGCTGCCGCGGCCCAGCACGGCGCCTCCAGGGAGCGCGGGCTCCGGCGTCCGCAGGAGGGGCTGCCCGGCCCGAGGGGCGCGCAGGGTCCGCGGGCGGGTTCCCGCCCCTCCCGCGCCGACGCCGCCGCCCTCCCCGCTCGCCTTTGTCCCCGGTCCCCCCGCGCTACGGCCTCCGGGAGGAGGCGGGCCGGGCCGCGGGGGCCCCCGCAGCATCCCGCCCTCCCTCCTCTCCGTGCACCGACCCCGCCCGACCCCGACCCCGGCTCCGCCCCCGGCCCCGCCCGGCCACGTCCCCGCGCGGGCGCCCCCTGGCGGCCAGACCCGCGCTGCGTGCGCGGCGGCGGCGGGCCCGGGGTTGCCGTGGTAACCGGCAGCGGCCGCCACAGCAGGGCCGCCCAGCGCAGCGCCGGCCGCGGCTCGGGCGGCGCCGTGTGGGGCGAGCGGCTTTGGCGGCGGCGGCGCGGCCGGGCCGGGGGACGGGCGCTGCCCGGCGGCCTCAGCATGGAGGACGGCTTCTCGAGCTACAGCAGCCTGTACGACACGTCCTCGCTGCTCCAGTTCTGCAACGGTGAGCGGCGGCGGCGGGGCGGGGGCCGCGGGGCCGGGCGGGCGCGGGGAGAGGCCGGCGGCGGGAGGAGGCCGCGCAAAGTTGCGGCGGGCAGGGCGCGCGGTTCCCGCCGCCGCCGGGCGCATTGTGCTGGGCCGCGGGCCGGGCCTCCCCGCGCCCCCGCGCCCCTGCCCGCCTGCCGCCGCCGGCTCCGCCCGGCCCGGCTCCGGCTCCGGCTCCGGCTCCGGCTCCGGCCAGCGCGCGGGGACCGGCCAGCGCGCGGGACCGGCCGGCCGGCGCCTCCCGCACCAGCGCCCCCGCCGCGCGCGGGGAGGCCCGGCCGCCCGGGCTCCGGGGACGGCTGCGCTCCGCTCCCCGCTCACATCTGGTGGGAAAGGTGCGGGCGAAGCCCTCGGCCAGCGGATCACTGAATAGCAGGACGCGGCTGCGGGGATGCACGCAGGTCTGTGGCGGGCGGACCCTCAGGATCCACCCAGCTCCACTTGGATGAAATCAGCCCAGCTCGATGCCATCCAAAGGGGCAGGCAGAGCAGACCCGCCTTCAAAGTATTTCCACTTGTTTTGCTCTCAGGGTGATAGATTTAAAAAATGTCTTAATTTTTTTTTTAACAGGAAGTAAACATTCGTAGCTACCAATATGGCATCTTTGAAATGTTTACTCTCCCTGGTAAGGTTGAGAAAGGTTCCCACAGCACACACCACCTATTTTATCAGAACGCGACGGGTGGTAGTTCATGCACAAACGGCATGATTTTTTTATGCATATCTTGGGTTGATTGCTTTATCAATCCAAGTGATTGTAAAAGAAAGAAAAAAGAGAGCCCCAAAAGTTTGTAAAGGAAAAAAAAAAGTGTGTATTGTTGTGTTGTGTTGTAGTTTGTGTGTGTGTGTGTGTGTGTGTTTTAGGATTTTTCTGGAGTGCATTTGGAATTTTTTGGAATTTTCTGGAGTGCATTTGGAATTCTAGATGCTTTGACAACTCAAGCTATTTATTTTGCAACTGTGATTTAGGGGAATTTTTCGAGCCATTTAACACCTGTTTGCAAGAGGAGGGATTAGCGGTAGCAATAAATATTAGCGAGGGTGCTGATCCATCCTCTCTAATGGCATTTTCATCTCTGGTGAAGTATCACCTTTTCATGGAAGCGGTGTTGGCAGCTTATAACTTTCCTATTAATCCCACGGGGCCTTCCCTAACTTAGTACCGCTCCCCCCACCCCCACGAGGGAAGGAACGTGTTGGCCCCTTCCCATTGGATGCCCGTTTCCCAGAGCAGAACCCCTGTGTGTTTTGATCCTTGGAAGGTGGGAAGGCAGAGGGAGGGTATTGGGTACTCAGCCAGCCGCTGGAATCCCCCCTATAGTTTACTCAGGGAAACGGAGTTATTCTCCAATAGATTTTGAATACTTTTCTTAATTGACTTACAATCAATCATATTTGAATTACTGGTTGTTGTTGTTGTTGTTGTTTTATGTAAACGGTAGTACCCCCTCCTATGTGTTTATGGTAGAATTTCCTTGGTGTTAGTTGTGTAAGGCATGTGGCTGAAAAATTATGTTAAATGATTTCCAGGCATAGAGGTTTTGGAGTTTGGGTGGTTTTGTTTTTTTGTTTTGTCTTTTTTACAATTTCCCCCGCACCTACACCCCCCGCCTTCCCTCTGAGACTTGGCAGTCCAGGCATGGAGGCTTTTAAAAAATTACTGTGTGGTCATATATGTTGACAGTTTGATTTAGGTTATGGAATGAGCCTCGATGTTTTTATTGGAGCAGCTGATAGGGAGGCCTGGCCATATTGTTCCTAAATAGCAGTTCGGTCATAGGGTTGACCTGAACATACATATTCATGAGGTTTTTGTTTTTTGTGTTTTTTTTTTAATTTTCTGCCCTTTCATGTTATTTGCTAGTTTAGAGATACTGGTAAGATATTTTACTGGTAATTCTGTCTAAGAGAAAGTAAAAATCAACTCTTACACTATGGTGTGTGTCCGTTTAAAGAAAAAGCACCACAACCGGAGGCAAACAATAAGATCACTTGGGAACACAGTAGAGTAGTTCATGACAGTTGAATTACTTTTCTCAAAAAGTTCATAGCTCTTGTTGTTTTTGGGTTACCTTCTGAATCCAGCTGAAAGCCAGAGTCGTCTGTGGGGCAGAAATGAATGCTCACTGCTGATGTCTTAAGCAACAGATGTTTGGATGTGAGATTGTTCATTTTAAGAGGCTCCCGTTAAGTGAAAATGTAAATAAATACAATTCAGTTAATTACTATGGTGATTCAATTAAAACATTGGATCGCAGAAACACCATTTCACCAAGAACTAAAGGGAACATGTGGATTTTTTTTTTTATCAGTTGCATTGAAACACTTTAAAAAAAATAAATTTACATTACAATGGCAAGACTACACAGAATACTGTATGAACTCATGAATTTTCATATGTCGAGTACAGCTCCATGCTTTTGGTAGTGATATGAATTAAAAAGTCATAGTTACTTATTAGCTTCAGACAATACAACCCATACTTACCGTTTGGATGAGGAGCACGCTGAGCATGCTCAAGAAAGAAGATCGTATCTAAATGAACGGGAGCAGGAGGCAATTTTGTCCAATGAATGACATTTCTGTCTTCGTCCTGTGCTCTTTTCCTTGCTGTTTCTCCTACTTCCTTTGTCATTGATGCCCCACGTAAAGTCTGGCAGTTCCTCCTCTCCCCTAGCCATTCTCAGCGTTTAGATACTAGCTTTCTCACAGAAGCAGAAAGTCTGTGCGGCTTTTTTCTTTTGTATTTAGAACTTTATCGCGTGAGCTGGAAATCACAAACTTCCTTTATTGCTCTCAGAAAACTGTCAGCGGTTGAAAAGTGGAAAAAGCTGTCATTTGCCAGCCAGTTTACGCCTCAGAAAGTATCACCCTTTCCTCCACATGTTCCTCAGGGCCTTCCTTCGAGGGAGGCAGTCTCACCATCCTTTTTCACATACGAGGAAACTGAGGCTCAAGGAGGTGTGTCAGTCTATAAGACCACACAAATCCTAAGCGTTGGCTACCAGTGTGACTTGGTTTGTTTTAATAACAGCATCTATCCTATATAATAAAAGCCTAATATGCAAATTGACCAAACTGGGGAATAACCAGTGGAACAACCAGTGCACTGACCACCAGGGGGCAGATGCTCATCTCAGGAGCTGCCCTCAGGCCCCAGGACAGCCAAGGCAGTTGCCAATGGAGGCCCCCCAATTGCCCTGCCTGTCACCCTGCAGAAGGAAGCGACCCGCAGTGAGGGATGGGGCCAGCGAGCAGGTGGCACCAGGTCAGCCAAGGCGGGTGCCAGCAGGGGCCCGCAGTTTGCCCTACAGATTGGCTCTGATCACCAGCCAGGCCTAGGGACCTTACCCATGCACGAATTTCATGCACCAGGCCTCTAGTTGTTGAGATAGTCACATACCATAAAACTTCACCCCTTTGAAGTATACATGACAATGAAGTAGCTTTCCGTATATTCACAGCATCGTGCAGGCATCAACATTTCTTTTCATATATATATATATATATATATATATATATATATATATATATATTGATTTTTTTACAGAGAGGAAAGGAGAGAGATAGAGAGCTAGAAACGTTGATGAGAGAGAAACATCAACCAGCTGCCTCTTGCACGCCCCCTACCGGGATGTGTCCGCAACCAATGTACATGCCCCTGACCGGAATTGAACCTGGGACCTTTTAGTCCGCAGACCGACACTCTACCACTGAGCCAAACTGGTTTCGGCTTGCATCAACATTTCTAATTCTAGGACATTTTTTTATCACTCCAGATTATAGAAACCCCAGGACCTAGGAGCAGTTACTCCCATTCCCCCATCACCTTAGACTCTGATGACCACAAATCTACTTTCTGTCTCTGATTTGGATCCTGGGTATTTAATATAAATGGAACCTTGCAATCATCGGCCTTTTGTGTCTGGCTTTTTTGACAGAACATCTTGTTTTAAGGTTCATCCAAGCTGCAGCCTCTTGATGTGAGTACTTCATTCCTTCTTCTGGCCAAATAACACCCCTTTGGACGGGTCGGCCACATTCTGTTCATCCTTCGCCAGCCTGTGGACATGTGGGGTGCTTCCACTTTCTGGCGATCGTGAATAATTCTGCTAGGAACTTTCGTGGACAAGTTTTTGTGTGGACGGATGTTTTCATTTCTTTGGGGTTGATACCTAGGAGTGGAATTGCTGGGTTATATTGTAACTCGGTGTAACACTTTTGAGAAATCAGTCTGGAGTTTGTGAAATCTACCCGCTCTTTGTATTACCCCTCGCTAGTAAAAATAAGGGGGAATTAAGGACCTGGATGAGGGAGGAGCAGGGGGAAAGAACAAAATGTTGCCATTCCGTTTCACTTCCCATACTCACGTGCCCCTGTCACAGCTCACCAAAGTGACAAAGAATAACCTTGCTTCGTTGCCGTAGGTAATAAGACTCTTGAAGGGACCTAACAGGTCATCTCATCTCCTGGTTTACTTTCGTTTTTCTTTTTTAATCCTCACCCAAGGATATTTCCCATTGATTTCAGAGAGAGTGGAAGAGAGAGGGAAACACATCGATAGGTTGCCTCCTGCACGTGGCCTGTACCTTTGGGATGCTTAAGAGAACCAAAAACAGCCCGGCTGGCATGGCTCAGTGGTTGAGTGTTGACCTATGGACCAGGAGGACACGGTTCAATCCCTGGTCAGGGCACATGCCTGGGTTGCACGCTCGATACCCAGTGGGAAATGTGCAAGAGGTAACCAATCAAAGATTCTCTCTCATCATTGATGTTTCGGTCTCTCTTTACCTCTCCCTTCCTCTCTGAAATAAAAAATAAAAAAATTATATTTAAAAAAAATCCCCCACAAGACCCAGTTTTAGACCCTTAATCACCTTGGTTTTCCATGGCTATACTTCCTTCTGTCTGTATGCCTTTTGACACAACCTAAGGTGGTATCCCAGGTAGGATTTTTA